TGCATTCAAAGCTGCAGGAGCTCTCCAAGACGACCTGGGCTCCCCTGGGATGTGCAGACGTTTCATACTTTCTAAGTGGAAGAAAATTTGCATGCGGTTTAAAAAAGAAAAATGCAGCCTCTGTTTATATTCAGCCATCTTGTCGGTACCAAACGGAGCCATTAAGTCTCTTGGGGTTCTGATTAGAAGGAAAGCTTCTGTAAACTGTTTTTCTATAGCCATACCACTCTCCTTCCAGGATCATCCTGGATTTGGCTCCCTTCATCTTCCCTCTGACCACCTTCCTTATCCTGCTGATGCCTCACAGCATGAGACTGCCACCTCCATGTTTCACAGCGAGGATGGTGTGTTCAGGGTGCATTGTGATCTAAAACTTTCATTCTGATGTCATACGATGATCAATGATTCTTCCAGCTGTGTGTTGCATCATTTAAGCAGCTCCAAGGGAGAATCTTAATGGTTTTCTTTCACCATTTCAGTGATTGATCAATGTTTTATTAATCGTGTTTTAATCCGGTAAGTTTGACTAAATATGGTCCGATGCGTCAGAGGACGTGGTTAAGGGGAGGACGTTCATGTCTTGGTAGGTCTGCAGGCTGGCCATCCCCAAATGTTCAAATGTCAGGGTATTGTTTTAGAACATGGCACGGCTTTAAACAGAACAATAACGTTCACTCTGACCCGTCTGCTGGGTTCTTTGGTCTTGTTGGATTTTCTCTGAGGCCGTAAACCAGAACAGCTGAGTTTTATGCTAAAATCACTAACAGGCTCTGTAGCCAGAGCCTTTAAAATGGAGAGTTCTGCTAACAGAAGACCAGGATGGTTAGGTTGCTAGAGCGGTAGTGCTTTATGGCCCATTTTAAAGTACAGGCATGACCCAATACTTTGGTAATTATTTCATAAAATGTGCAACCATTAAGCCGGGCATATACTGTGCGATATGTTCAGTCGTTGCTCTCGGCTGCAGCTCAAATCGTACGTCGAAACCGCAGGCTTCAAAAGTTCACAGCTCATGATACATGTTCTTACACTGTACTGATTGAGAGGGCGTTTTCTTTAATTTAGTTCTGTTGTGAACCATGTGAAATGTTCAGTTGACTCATATGTAAAATTTACAAATGTTAACGTTTCATTTACATGAGTAAAGCAACCTAAATATAATTTTCTACTGCCAAGCTCTGCTAACGTCTATGGCAATGCTAGCATGAGCGGTTAACTTACCTGGTCGCCATTGCTCTTCGTTCTCAGTGGAGTTTTCAGAAATATCTTAGTTTGACGATTCTGGTTTACTAATTGGAGAAATTCTGAATATGGCTGATTTCTCTGGATTTTATTGTGTCGGATTAAAGTGGGATAAACAGATACTGTAGATTTTATATGTAGTGAAATTTAAAATCAATGTTTTGTTCCATCTTTCAACTAATCACTGTTTGCCTATTAGATAAAATCTTAATGAAATGCATCGTAGTTTTAAGTTTTAATGCAACAAATGTCTCAAAGTTTCGTGCACGCTCTGTTTAAAATGTGCTGTTCTCGTAGTTAATACAAGCTTACTGTGTCCAGGGGAGCTTCTTCACTGAGATCAGAGCTGTCTGTGTTTGTTTACATCCTGGTTATTGATCAGCTGTGTGGAGCTGCTTTGTTTACTCTGCTCAG